GGCAGCACATCTGTTTCAGTTTGGTGCTTGTGAGACAGGAGGTTGGCTCCTAGTCCTGAACCCTATCCTTCTGCAGTGCAGGAGCAGGGGCGGGAGGGGGCACCGCAGCTGCAAGAGCAGGCTCCTGTCCATGGTACTGAAGCGCCACTGGCTAGAGAAGGACGGGCCTCTCCTGGGCCAGGACGCTGATTATGACTAACTTCTCCCATCTCTCCCACCTTTTCCTCAAAAAGAAGGAAAAGTTCTTTCTGCAACAATTTTTCCAGTTTTTATGATATTCCATAATAAACAAATCTAGTATTAAACAAGAGCTTTAGTCTGCTCTATCTCCAGGAAGAGAGAATATCTTCATCCTGATGCAGCAGGCCTGTGCTCCCTAAAAGCAGGGCTTTGCTCCAGGAATGTGCTTCCCCACATGTCCCTGACACCGAGCTGCAAAGAGGGCCTGGGTGACAGGAGTCGGGACCCCACCCCCTGCTCCTCCAGGAACCTGCAGGAATGAATGTCGGCAAATGAACAGCTCTGGAGAATGATTCAGGCTTCTTGCAGCAGAAATGCAAAAGGCCATTTATCACCCACATCTTCAATACAGAAAATGTCAGCATATGTAACCAAAGGAAATGTTTTCTCAGTGTCTTAAAAGAAAATCCACATTATTAACCACAGACAGCTCGCGTTCTCAAGGGAAGCACAGAAAGTCCCCAGACAAACTTTCGTAACTGTGAAAGGATTTCTCTTCAGCTGGTTGAGACTCTTCTGAAGTGTGAAATGAGCCAGATAATATTCAGCTCTTGTATCCCAGTCACTGAAGTCTCTTTTCATGAATCCAATAAGTGTCTATTAAAATAAATAACCCCCTAATGACTCTCGATAACCTAATCAAGAAAACTGAAGCAGAAAGAGGCTAAGTAGGAGGCAGACATGTCAAGGGCTGGCTGCAACAAACACTGGCCAGGAAGAGTCTGTCCCTGGGCCGGAGTCATGCCAGGGGAAGCTAAGGCTCAAGGCTAATTACATGCTGCCTGATAGGTGGCAGTAAAAGTGACTGTCTTCTTTTCTTTTTAACAAAATCAGATACCACCCTGACAAGGGACTGATCTTCAGCCTCCCTGGGCTAACTGAAGGACATTTCTCACATCTTTAGGGAAGCTCATGAAGGTGGCGTCTGTCACTAAGAGTAAGGGAGGTCTATTTCAGAGCAGCACTTCACCTCTGCTGCAGAAGCACACGCCGAAGAGGGCCACACCGCGCGCTGCTGCTCCCTGCACCACAGACATGTGGGTTCTATGGAAAGTTAGAACACCTTCACATAAATGCACATCCACGCACCCTCGCACCAGGACCTGAAAGAGCATTCACAGCTGTCACAAGAATGATGCAGTCTTTGCTTTCCTCCTGAATACTAGAAATGACTCAATAGTCAAGTGCTGTGACGAGGAGGAGGAGAAAGAGAAGAGGTGAAAAGAAAGTGAAAGGACAAAAATAACGAAAAAGATTTCAGTGGCATTCTTCCAAGGAATAGAAAAAAAAATCCTAACATTCATATCAAAACCCCCAAAGGAAAAATGAAAAATAAAACAGCAACAAAAAACCAAATAGTCAAAGTGATACTACGAAAGCAAACAAATCACACTTCCTGGTTTAAAATTACATTACAAAGCTAGAGTAATCAAAACAATATGGCACCGCATTAACACAAACAGGCAAACATAGACCGACAGAAGAGGCAGAGTGCCTGGAAGGGCATCGTGCGTAGATGATCGGGCAGCTCCCTGCTGGGGCACCCAGAAGACATGGGAGAGGAACGGTCTCCTCAGTAGTGGTGCTGCATGCGGGCTTCCACATGCAGGAGGAGGGACTCGACCCTTGCCCCACAATCAATCGTTTAGCATATACAAGCACCAAGTCAAAATGGGTAAGATTCCCAAACCTACACCAGAACCATGCACCCTCCCTTAGGAGAGACAAGAAGCTTCACAGTGACTTTTACAAGAACTTCTTTTCGAGGCAGCTTCCTGCTATGATTCAGGCTGGCCCTGCACGCACTATGACGCCCAGGCTGGGATGACCCTAGGAAGCTGCCCCCGCCCCTCCAGATTGCCACCTCCAGGCTCCAGGCAGTGGGGACAGTGGGAGGGACAGGCAGGCAGCCCCACAGCACGGCACAGGGAGAGGGCGGAGGCTGCCGAGGGCTGAGGACCTGCCGGGGCGCCGCTGGCATGCGACACCTGGGCCTCATTCTTCCTCAGCAGGAACAGCCACTGGCAGCAATGTCCTCCCATCCTGAGAGCAAAAGCTGCAGAAAGGACAGAAGCTAGTTGTCTGGGCTCACGAAGTGCCAGTCGGAGGCTCGGCCAGTCCTATGTCAAACATGGAGGAGCCGCGCATAAGCATCTCCTCTGCTCCTACTGACCTTTCTCCTGAGGAGGAAGGCAGGGAGGGGCCTCACCAGACAGAGCTGCGCGGAGCGGCCGCTGGCCCTTTGTCTCGCACATGCCACAGGTGTGGGCCCGGGCATGCTGGCCATCCCCAGCCGCTGCGCCCCTGCTCTTTCCTGAGCCCTCCCAAGCTTCAGCCCCACCTCCAGGGACAGCCCTCACCCTCTGCGCTCTTCCCTTCCCCAGCAGCTCCTCTTTCAAAGCTGCCCTCCAAGGGCTGTGCTTGGCCTTACTTTTAATAGGTGATTACAGCAATTCACACCCAAGAGGAACGAGGCTTGATGGAGGGCCAGTTTCCATTCCCAAAGAACTTCATGATGGAAGGGAGGAAAGGTCTGTGTGGATGAGGACAGGGCCCAGGCTCTGGGGCCGCTCCAGCCCACCAGCCCTCCTCCTTACAGCCTCGCTAATCTGACCTATGCTGAGAGGCATTCCCTCCTGGGTGGGTCACTCCAACAACCTCTGATCCTTTCCCGGGCAAGCGAGAGAGAAAGGAGGGCAGGAAGGAGTGGAGAGGAGGCCTGTATTCTGAAGTGGGGCTCCACCGGGAGTGGGTCTGGGAGGGCCTGTGCCAGCTACCTGTGGGAGGTGGACCTCCACGAGGCACGCTCCCTCCCCAGGGCATGCACGCTGGTGCTCAGACGCTGGAGGCAGCCTCTGGTGCGCGCTGCCTCCGCACTACCAGCTACGCCCGGCTCGGTGGCAACACACGTTCAGCAGCTATGACGGTGCCTCACTCATCCCAGCTCTTCACAGCAAGGCTCTGTGGTGGGTGGTGACAGCGGGCCTCCCGAGGCGTGCAAGGCCAAGCCTCCCAGAGCACCACTCCTCGGAGGCTCAGCCTCACCCTGCAGCGTTCTTCTTCCCAGAAGGGCATTTCCTTATGGATGCTACAAACTCCCGGCTACTGATTTCTTCGGGAGGCATCAGAAAATGTGCTTCTGCCAACTGGCAGACTGAGCTTTCAAGCAGCCGCCTGAATCGTGCGGGGAGCTGCGCCACAGCTAATTCCAGGGCCTCCGTGCCAAGCCCACGGCAGATCGCAGGCCTCAGGGATCGAGTTCCCAGGCTGTAGTCCTCCGTGGTCCTTAAAGACGCTCATGAAAGGACAGGTGAAATGTTGATATTTACATCATGTCACAGCAAAGGGACAGGTTTGCAAAACTGATCGTGGGGCTTTGCACTCGCTGCACGTTTGCCACATATGTCCTCTATTACACAGTGGAAAACCATTAAATGCACAGTAGCTTTGCCAAGTGGCATTATGCATTTAACAGCTTTACTCCTTCCACAGCTCCAACTCTCATCATAGCTGGCCACGTGGTCCACGGGATTTCACGTATCTAACGTTTCAGAAGGCTCCACGGTCCTTTCTCTTCGTGTGCCTCACCGGAGGCTGCACACCGATCGATCTCAGAAGCCGTGCCTCCCTGATTCCACTGACGGAGTCAGCGTCACCTGGGAAAGCGGCTGCACTGAGCCCAGCAGGGGAATGTCTCAACTCTTCAAAATTTCTTCACATTCTTCTGCGTTCCCTTTGTTAACATCTGAAAATACCTGGAGCTGCTTTGCTGTACTAATGCAGGAAAAAAAAAAAAAAAAAAAGCCAAGGCCCGTAGCAATCTCATCCACCCAAGTACATTTCTATCTTCATAAAGCTCACTTTTTCCAGAAACCTTCTTGCCCTAATAGCAATTTGCTCCGGCACACACCAGAAGAGCTGCTCAGGAGGTGACCAGCCACGTCCCCCTCCGTGCATGATGTGAGGACATCTGCCACACACAGTCACAGAGGACATCAAGTCCAAAATTCACTGCCTGTCAGAATTACATTTTAACCAACTTTTCTGCTCTGCAGCGTACATTCCAGTTTATCTCAGGGGCTGGACAGAACGCCTGCCCGCAGGTGTCTGCGGTCAGCCAGCTGTGGTCCCCTCAAAGCCGAAGCCAAGATCAGGGCCTCTCAACTGTTGCTGCTTCAGAAATGAAAACTGAAGCATCTGTTAGCATATCCCCCTGAGCTCTCAGTCCCCGCCATCTCGACAATCTGAGCATTTCTGTGGGGTGAGCTCCCATGTTTTTCTGTTAAAAGATTTTAGCACTGACTCTGGATTCCCCGTGTGTGTTTCCTGCTGGAAAAACAACTGTCCTCTGAACAGAAAAGAAGCACCTGATGAGCAAGGAGCCCCTGGGGCCAGCGCGGGCTGTCACAGCAGGGCCAGCCCTGCCCAGCGGGAACATGGAAGAGCCCTGACCCGGCCGAGGTGCAGGGCTCCATCAGCCAATCACGGGGGGCGGGGGGGTCCTTGGCAGTGCACAGAGCAAGAGAGGAATCGTTCAAGGTGGAGTCTTTGTGAAAATAAAATTCTTCAAAAGAAAAACCTGGGCTCTGGCTTGGCCTCCCTGCTGCAGCCAGTGAAGCGGAGGCCCAGCAGGCTGCGGCAGGCTCCCTGGGGATGACTGCTGTTATTGGTATTAAGGCACAGATGTATTTTTATTGGTGGGAGGAGCAAGCAGTGGGGCTCCTTCAAGCCTCCACCTCGCGCCTCTGGAAACCGCTCACCTGGCTTTTATTTGCAGCCACTTTGGCAAACAGGGCCTGGGACACCTTGGCCCGCTTCATCTCCTGCTGGATCTCATCGTAGATGGCAGCTGTGATGCTGACGCTGGCGCCGTCCGCCTTCATGGGGAGGTCTGCTGTCGGTGTTGAGGCTTTGGCCTATCAAGAGACCATGAAAATAATAATTTAAAAAGTGCTGCATTCAGCCCAGCCATCTGTGCAGAATTGTCAGAGGACTCCAGTCAGCTGATGCCAGGCTGCACGCGCTACAGAGGGACACTTCCTGTCCATTATTCTAATCAGGTTAATTGTGATTGGAAATAATTGCAGCGGGCTCCTGCAGGACGCGCAGGAGCAGGTGACCCTGTCCTCTCCCTCGCGGTGCCCTGTGGACCCTGGGGAGCGGGGGTGGGGCCCCCGGGCACGTGCCATGCCATCAGCGAGGTGCCAAGCCAGCACACAGAGCACACACACCTTTCCTATCTAAAAGGGGCACACCTTACAGAAAGAGCCCATCCTCACAGAAAAAAATGAGAAAATGGGCAGAGGTCCCTAAATAATAAATTATTACTCGATTTAATGCACTCCCCAGAGTCGCTCTCGTTCTTTATTGAAGCTTACGTGTGTCATTTGAATACGCATCAGCCCCCATGGTTATCATCTTGACGCTACCCAGACGGAACCTAATTTCACCTAGGAAATCAGTGGAAATGAAACAAAATTTCATTTCGTGAAACTCAGCTTCAGAATGCCTGTGATGTCCCGTTTTCATTTCCTTAAACTCATATTGCAGTTTTATGCATTCTGCTATGCACATTTTAATTGAATGATTTCCCATCAGCTTCAGAGACAAATGAAGGACAACCTGGCAGGTGTCTGCGCTTCCTGGGGCGAGAGCCCTGAATATCTTCATCCGCTGGATCCCAAAGACTATCGAGGCTCACGGGGTCCTGGTCCTGCAGGTGCCCAATGTCATGAGTCAGAAGCCCCAAAGCAGGACCCACCCTCAGGCAGGGGTGCCCCTGTGCTGTGGGCCCCCACACTGAGGGCACTGTGTGGCCATGCAGGGCAGGCAGGCAAGGCCGAGGCTGCACTTGATGGCCCCGAAGCTGAGCACGGTGAGTGCAGCTGGTGACTTCTTTCCTGTGCCCAGTGCTCTAGAAAGAGCTCTAACTTTTCTCTAAATTCTTGTAAGCATCAAGCAAGTGAGGTGGGTCACAGTGTTCCTATAGACAGACCACGAGTCAAAGACGATGCTCAGCCTGAGCAGGGAGCAAAGGAGGCATGACCTGGACTGGGCCTGCGGGCTCTGCAGCGCATCCGTCCCCCGGGGGCTGCCCACTGTCCCAGCCACCAGCTTAGCAGGCTGCGGAGCCACAGGCTCCCCTTCCCATCTACCTTCCTATCACACCCCACCCATGCTAATGCCTCCAAGACCCTTTTTCCTTCCCCGAAAGTCTAACCCACAGCACGCTCCTCTCCTAAGTGCATGCTTCTGCACTATCTCTGCCTCTCTCAGCTGCTTTCACGAGCACCTCCCACAGTCTCGTCCCCAGTGGGTCAGAGGTCTCTGGACCTGGAGGGCTACGCCAGAAGCTGTCGGGAACAACTCTGGGTGATCAGGAATCCAGATCAGGACAGCTGGACTTCAGATCTAGCTCTGCCACTCAGCCCTGTGGCCTTCTGGAGTTACTTAAGCCCAACAGATATGCCTGCGTAAACCAGTGTGAAGGAATTCATGTGAGAAACACTGGAATCGATGAGTGTGTGGTGATCCTCTGTCCTCGTGTGATCACTGTTTACCACAAGGCACACTGAGAAAGAGTGGGGAAGCCCAGAGCCTGGGAAGACCCTCTGGAGGTCATGCTCCTGTGAGTGCCCAGGCAGTCAGGACCCACAAGGGGCTGGGCCTGGAGCAGCTGCCGGGGGCCTGCTCACGCACAGGGCCTTTCCCGCACCAGGGGTCCTGGCTTTGGAGACGTCTGGGAGAAGCCAGGTGCTGGTGAAGCATTTTCAACAACCTTAATGGCCCTTTCCTCAATCTATAACCATCAGGTAAAGAAGAAAATTTCAAAGAAATTGCACTGCCCCAACTGTACTCTCAGAAACATGCTGGAGTATTTCATGTTTCAGAAATCTCAAAACTATTAGATGACCAATTTCCTACACTCATCCCCAAAGGGAATCCTTATCTAAGAATGTTAAAAAATGGGATTCTGTTCAGAAAAAGCAAATTACTGTCCCAGCTCTGTGGCCTTGTAAGTGGCTAGAGGTGCTGGGCAGGAGCCGGGAGGCCAACACTAGGAAGGGCTGCAAAGGGCTGGAGGACAAGGCTGCTTCCTACCCAGCGGAAGGCCTCTCTGGGGAGGGGAGGAAGGGCTCTCCAGAAATGGTCTCATGGACTTCAAAAGTGGCAAAAATCCAGGTGAATTTCACAGAAGTATGGGCACAAATTAACAACCTGCCCCCACTTAATAAAACAGCGCAACACGGACACACCAAAATTTAAAAATTAAGTAAAAACGGTTGGCTATCTTTGACCAAAGCAAGCAGTCAGAAGACTTAGTTTTTGGTTTAACAGTAACTACAGCTCAAAATTTATTTAAGACTATAGTGGAAGTTGTACAGTTTGGCAGTGCACAACAGAACGGGATCGTCAATTAAAACTCTACTGCAGGGGCAAAACACAAAGAGGCAGGATGTGTGAAGAGCGGACATGAGCTTTGAAAAGCTCAGACATTCCTACTAGAAGAAAATTCTGCTTCTGTGCTTAATCAGCCCTTGGACTTTATATGAAAATACACTCAAGAGCAAAACTGCAGAACCTGAGCTGAACAACTTCTGCCAGGAAGCGGCCAGCTTCAAGTTTTGCACACACCTGTGCACGTTCAGTGCTGCTGAGGGCTGCCCCTTGCCCACAACCCGCCCCAGCAGCAGAGTGAGGAGGTGTGAGGAGAGCGGCGGCGGCAGCGAAGTTCAGGGAGACAGGCCAAGGCATGGCTCAGGTCCGAATCAGAATGGACCCGCTGCCCCCAGCCTGCGACCTCCCTTGGGAGCGCGCGTCCTGGCTCTGTGCACCTGTGTGAGGCCGAGGCCCAAGTCCTTCTGAGGGACAGAGGAGGGAGTGAAGCCAGCCAAGCCGGGAGGGCACTGCCTGGGAGGAGAAGGCCTGGAGCCGGCTTTCCACCCTCACTGTCCAGGCCCGCAGCACGGGGCCGTCATTGCGGGATTCAGACATGCGTGCCCCTGTGCATCACAGCACACAGGGCTTCCGCATTCTATTTCAGAACTGCATGCAGCAAAACACCAATGACTGTCCCTGCCTTGTTCCCAAGCACCCTCTGCACCCAAATGAGCACCCTACTTGAGTGAGGGGGAGCAGCATAGCTCTGGCACAGCTCAGCTCCCACCTAAATGCATCCCCTCCTAAGGGAACTAAGCAGGGCCCTCCTGACCTCCCTCTTCCTGCTCAAGGGGTAAGGCCCTAGGCCCTCACCCCTCACCCAGAAGGACCACGGCGGGGAGGGGCTACAGGAATCCTTGAATGGAGGCCCTTGGTCTGCACAGTGGAGCAGGCAGGGTCAGGAGGCTCACCTGTGGGGTGCGGGAGGCGCTGGGGCTGCTGGAGGCCGAGGACACCATGCCCACATTGGGGTTCATGCTGCGCTCGCGTTCATCCTGGTAGATGCGGTCCCGCTCCACTTCGGGCAGGTTCAGGAAGTTCTGCATGGCCCGTAGGTTCACAAGCAGGGACTGCGAGGCGGTCCTGGGATCCTCCTCCTTGCGCAGGATCTCTGACAGCAGCCCCTACGAGGTGGGCACAGAGAGAGGGCTGGGTTAGCATGCAGGGCCTGTGCCTGGCTCGAGCCCCGCCCCACCGGGGTCCCTCCTGGGTGCCTGCCTGGCACTCTGTCCAGAGCCCCAGGCTCATTCCCTCGCACTCTTGGGTAGGAAGAGCCTGTGGTGTGCCCGCCCCCGCGGCTGGCCACATTCAGGGCCTCTTCTGTCCCGACACACACTATCTCGCTCACAGTGGTCAGCGGTGTGCAGACGCCAGCCAGCATGGTAGGCGCTGGAGAGGAGTCGCGAAGCTGCGATTCCCGCCAGGCACCTCCTCCAAGTATTGCAAGAACTGCTAGAACTCTGCTTGAAACTGGGAAAGCTTGGCAGTCCTGCTCGGCTTTGCAAATCTGCCAAGTTTGGTAAATTTAGTTCCGACATTTAAACAGTATGGGAGATTTACACCGACTTTAAAAAAAAGTTTGGCTGAATTTCTGTGTGACCGGCCACTGGTTTCAACGTAGATGTTTCTGGTGGTAGGCAAAAAAAGTCAAAGCAAATGGCTGCGCCGGTGAGATGCTGGAGGGCCTCCGGGCACCACACGCCACAGCGCTTGGGGCCGAGGGGCAGCAGCGGCCTGACCCCTGGCCTGCAGGCAGAAGGTGGCCACAGCCCGAGGAGCCGAGCCGCTGCCACCGCGCAGAGGACGGCGGGCCGCAGCTCGCGGCTGGACGCGCGACTCGCCCGCACAGCAGGCCACTGACAGCAAATGAGTGTTTTCACAAGGTCTAATGTCGGAGAACGCACAAAGAAAAGTAAAATGCTGTCAAGGCTAAGTGGCAGAAACTCCAGAAAAGAGCGGGAGCCCCGGTGGGCAGCCCCGGGTTCTCCCAGAGGCACCGCTCCACATCCAGCCAACGTCTGTGCGGGGCACGAGGCTGGGACTCGGGACCAGCCCCGGGAGGAGCTAGCATGCCTTACCTGAACCCGAGGACAGATGGGGAACCCGGACACGAAAGGCGTGTCTGCCCACGTGACTAAGGAAAGGGGGTCGTGCCCCCTGGAAAGCGAAGGGCGTGGAGGAACACTGATGGGGCAACCGCCGCCTACAGGGCGGGCAGCACCCCACGGAGGGAGCAGTCTGCACTCCAAACATCGCAGCAGACAAGACAACTTCACCTTTGGAAGGACGCGGTGGGCAGCGCGCCACCCGAGAGCACTACGCTGGGGTGCAACGCGACTGCTTAGAGGAGTCCTAGGGAAGGCTGGGCAGGAGCAGGTACACAGCGGGCTAGAGATCGGGGCGAGCGTGGGGGGGGCGGGGCGGGAGTGAGCACACAGAAGCCATACCCGGAAACTAGAATACTGCGCACATGAGCACATGCGTGTGCGAGCGTGCCCAAATGTGTCCAGGAAAGCACACAGCGGGACAAAGTGGCGCCTCACAGGCGTGCATCTAGGATGTATGCACAGGCGTCTCACAGGTGAAATGCTTCTAAGGAAAATCCAGGTTTCCTGCTATGCTTTACAAGCAACAAGTGGTGCGCCTGTCTTCCAAGAGACATCAGGTAGTCCACATATAGGCTCTCTTCTAAAATTAAGTCAGTTCTGCTTTAAGTTATCCTACTTTCTACTTTGTTAAAAGACCCTAAAGGGCCAGGGAGATGGCTCAGTAGAATAAGCACTTCCCTGGCAAGCAGAAGGGCCTGAGTTCAATCCCTGGTTCCACAAAAAAAAGACCCTGAAATACTCATAATGGATTTGTTGTCAAGATAAAAAAAAACAAAAAACAAAAAAACCCTATGGGTAGAGAATCCAGGAGGCTGTGGACTTTACATCACTAGCAATTTCCACTATCAGTGAAATACTAATGTTGACATTTTCTGAGTTTTCTTTAATGACGAGCCATTCAGGGCTGGCCAGATAGCTCAGCAGACAAAGCACTTGCTTTGGCAAGCACGGGGACTGCAGTTTGATCCCTGGTTCCGCGTGCCATGCAGGCCCCACCCCCACTCCCGGGGTGTCCTGAGCCAGCGACCGAGTCCGGGGTGGTGGCACAAGCCTGTTATCCCAGCACTGGGGAGGCTGAAAACAGGAGAATCACTGTGAGTCTGAGCTGCGTAGTAAGACCCTGTACCAAATACATAAAATGAAAATAAATAAATAAATGAGCCATTCATAGAAAGAATAAATTTGTCTTGAAATATTTCCAAAAACTACAATTTGAAGTTTTAGGACCAATACAAAAATGTACTCTGATAGCTATTTTGAGTGTCACTCTAGATATCTCAAAAGCAAAATGAAATTGTTCTTCCTCCATGAAATTATTTTCATAAATCCCAGAGTATATTACCACTAAGCTCTGCATGCCAAGTCCTGTGGTGACACACCGGTGCTCCTGGAGCACGGCTCCAGACTACGCGCTTGCTGAGGCCCAAGATCCGTGCAGAGCCCAGAAGGTGGTGCCCGCTTCGCATCTGAGCTGGTGCTGCCCCTTGAACCTGCAGAGCCCCTTCCTCTGCACTATTAACACGCTTTACAATGAAGCAGCACAGGAAACTGGCCCACTTGGATGGAGTCAGAAGAGCGCCCGAGGAGACGGCAGGAAGGCAGCGGCCTGGTGGAACACTGCTTCCAAGATTAGAGCACCTCGCTTAAGTCCCCGCCCAAGGACGTCACCATTCAGCCCAGCGCACCCCTCTGGAGAAGGACAGTGTTCCAAATTATTTACTTAAGCTTTCCACGTGGCACTGTAGCCCCACAGCAGACCCTGTCAATAAGAAGTGGCCAGCTAGAGGCACAAGAAGAGCTTTGCCGATTGGCCAGTATTTATGTCTTTGCTTATCTGATGATCTTTTAACTTTCTCAAACAGGGAGGTTTTCAAAAATGGAGCCCCCTTCTTCAGGTGCAGCTATGTGAAGAGTTTAGGAAGGTGAAAAGCACGAGAAGACCTGGTGGCGCTCCCGCTCCCCACACCAGCCCTGCTCACTGTCGGGGTGACAAATGCTCATCACACTGCCGCTGACTTGGACGGAACGCAAATTAATAATTTATCTCACATAAATATTCCTAAAGCCCTTGCCACTCTGTCAGCTGGCATTTTAATTATCCACTGGCTGGGCAGGAGGTATCACTGGCACATGGCACGTGGACAGTGGCAGGCGCAGTACCGGGAGGAGACACAATCTCAAGCAGAGCGGCCATGCATATGGAGAAGGCGTAAATGGAAGATCAATGAATTAACCAGGACATCGCTACTGAACTTTTATACCAGCAACCGGATGAAGCTGCGCCGCGGGAGTGGGTGAGCGGGAGGGTTTTCCTGGTCGGAGGCGACAGAGCTCCCTCCAGGGAAGTGACCACTGCCCATGCTTGGAGCTGCAGAGTGGATCACGGGGCTTCGGCCTGCGCCGGGCAGGAGACCCAGGACCCGGGCAGACACCTGCACAACAGCCACAGGAGACAGGCACTGGACTCGGAGGGGCACAGGCAAAAGCTCAGACGGGCCCCGCCCTCCTCCCAATGGGGCACTGGAGAGCCTCGGATCCTTCCCAGCACAGGGCGGGCACAGAAGCCTGGCAGAAAATTCACGGAAAGCTGCCTGATCCAGGGCACAAACTGGGAGCAGTGATGTAAAGCGGCAGCACACTGGATGACAGAGGCCAGTGGTGGTGAACCCACGGCACACATGCCGGTGGCCGGCTTTGTGCATCACTGAAAACTCTAAAAGGTTTGCCATCACTGATACGGGCTATTTCAACACACAAAACAAGAGAGTAATTTTTAAAATAAATAATTATCCAGCTTCCTAGTGTCTGTAGATGAGCACTATTTCTTGGTAATGCATTAAATGACCTGACAGTCTATGACTCTGCGCTTCCAGGTGACAGGAACTCCGTTCCCGAACGGCTTCGGCAGTGTATGTAGTCTACCCCTAACTGCCCCATGCATGGCATGTGGTGGCACTAGAAATTCCTGGGGAACAACACCCCGTGACCAGCTCTGGAGCAGACTTCCGACCTCTGCTGCATGACCTCACCAGCTCCAGGGCCAAGGCCCTGCCAGAGGCTGAAAGGCACCAGCCCCTTGTGCTGCTTTTAGGAAAGCTGAGCCTGAGCCCCTCGAGAGCCCGGGCCCGGGGCAGAGCAGAGTCCTCACTGACAGACCATCGCGGATGATCACCCTTCATGGCTCGACATGCCTCGAGCCTGTCTGGGATCTGACTGCCTGCACAGGAAGTCTGGGGAGACTTGAAAACAGCGAAGGAGGCTGTCCTAGGGCTTTCCAGGATACAGGCAGCCCGCCGCGATGCTGCCACGGGTCCAGCACCGCTGTCCAGGGCCGGTCTCTCCCAGGGTTACTGAGGAGCCCATACACCTCGTCTGCGCACGCCCAGTCTCCAAGCGCGAGTGATGGCACCATGAATTCGCTTCTTGCTTCTCTTTTGGTGCAGAGCTCCAAGAGGGATGACAAGGCCACAAAGAGACACCTGTTCCTGAGGACTTCATCATTTGGAAGGAGACAGTCTTAGGAAAAGGTAAAAGACCACAGGGTCACAAATGCACCGAAACTGCTGCCACCCTGGCAGAGAGGAGCGATGCGCCCCCAGCACTCAGGCAAAGGCCAGGGCAACAGGCGCTGTGACCCAGCCCAGCAGGACTTTGAATCACATGTGGGGAGGATACAAGGCCAGGGGAGACAAACAGGTATCCGGCAACACAGCCACCAAATGCCCAGCGGAGAAGAGAGAGGCTTCCTCGGGATACAGGCAAAGCCATCTCCCCAAAAGTTTTTGGGACCTAAGCCACACCACAACCTCAGGCGCAGGAACCTGATGCCACAGGGCTCACCAGCAAGGCAGCACCGCTGCCCCCAAATGAAGCAATATGAGGTAATCTACACAGCCTTTTTGTCACCTGCAACAAATTAGGCTTTCAATATGCAAAACATCTTCCTCCTTCCAGAAAAACAAATGATCGTTATTCCACTTAATTGTAATTTAATGAGGCATAATTTATTTTTAAAG